GATTAGTAGGCATCCTTCAGTCTCGAAAGACTATGGTATCGTGCTCTGTATGGAGGACTTGGAACAGCATCTAGTGTGGCTTAGGAGGCCAATTCGAGAGTGACAATCCCTTCCACACTGGAGACAAATCCAATCTGTCCCCTGTCCAGCTCCCTGGTTTTGCTTCCTTTGTGACTTCCTCTTTGCCTCAGCCTGCTGGACAAGGGTCTCTTCAAATTGGGAGAGGCCGTGATGTACTGCCTGCCTCCAGGCTGAACGATCAGATGTCAGAGTTTCCCATCTGTTGAGGTCTATTCCTAAGGCCTTCAGATCCCGCTTGCAGATGTCCTTGTATCGCAGCTGTGGTCTCCCTCTGGGGCGATTTCCCTGCACTAATTCTCCATATAGGAGATCCTTTGGAATCCGACCATCAGCCATTCTCACAACGTGCCCAAGCCAGCGTAGACGTCGCTGTTTCAGTAATGTATGCATGCTGAAAATTCCAGCTCGTTCTAGGACTACTCTATTTGGAACTCTGTCCTGCCAGGTGATACCAAAAATCCGTCGTAGGCAACGCATATGGAAGGTGTTCAGCTTCCTCTCCTGCCGGGCACAAAGTGTCCAGGACTCGCTGCAGTACAGGAGTGTGCTCAGGACACAGGCTCTATAGACCTGGATCTTGGTATGTGTTGTCAGTTTCTTATTGAGCCATACTCTCTTTGTGAGTCTAGAGAACATGGTGGCTGCTTTCCCAATGCGTTTATCCAGCTCGACATCTAGAGAGAGGGTGTCAGAGATGGTTGAGCCGAGGTACACAAAGTCATGAACAACCTCCAATTCTTGTGTGGAGATGGTAATAGAGGGAGGTGAGTCCACACCCTGGCCCATGACTTGTGTTTTCTTCAGGCTGATTGTTAGTCCAAAGTCTTGGCAGGCCTTGCTGAAACGGTTCATGAGTTGTTGGAGGTCTTCAGCAGAGTGGGCAACAATGGCTGCATCGTCTGCAAAGAGGAAGTCCCTCATGCATTTCAGTTGGACTTTGGTCTTCGCTCTCAATCTAGAGAGATTAAGGAGCTTTCCATCTGATCTAGTCCGGAGATAGACACCTTCTGTTGCAGTTCCAAAGGCATGCTTCAGCATGACAGCAAAAAAGATCCCAAAAAGTGTTGGTGCGAGGACACAGCCCTGTTTCACTCCGCTTCGGATGTCAAAGGGATCTGATGTTGAGCCGTCAAAAACTACAGTGCCTTTCATTCCATCGTGGAAGGACCTGATGATGTTAAGGAGACGAGGTGGACATCCAATCTTGGGAAGTATTTTGAAAAGGCCATCCCTGCTAACCAAGTCAAATGCTTTTGTAAGGTCTATGAAGGCCACTAAGAGTGGCTGTTGTTGTTCCCTGCATTTCTCCTGCAACTGTCGGAGGGAGAATACCATGTCAGTGGTGGATCTATTTGCTCGAAATCCACACTGTGATTCCGGATAGACTCTGTCTGCAAGCACCTGGAGCCTCTTCAGCACAACACGGGCAAGCAGCTTCCCTACAACGCTAAGAAGAGAGATACCACGGTAGTTATTGCAGTCACCCCTGTCACCTTTGTTCTTGTACAACGTGACAATGTTTGCATCCTTCATGTCCTGTGGTACTCCACCTTCCCTCCAGCAGAGACAAAAGATTTCATGTAATAAATATAATGTAATAAATATAACTATAACTACACCTAAAACGAGTCATGGCAACCCTTCAGTAAACACCCCCACGTTGTGATCTTGCAATCTCCAGGGTGTTGGAGGGTCAGCCGTGGGAAGCGTCTGCACGTTATCCTGCGGCAGACCCATTTCCAGGAAAGTTTCATCTTCAAGGGAATGAACAGAGTGCCTGGAAAGTGCTTAGGACAGAATCTGTGGAGAGATTCCACCGGTGGACAGATAACCATGTAAGAGGTCCCACCCGTCCATTGTTGTAAAGGCAGAGTTGGTTCACAGGACTGGGTTTTGTTTTTTTACCAGTGTGTGACTGGTAAAGGTAAAGGTTCCCCTTGACATTCAGTCTGGTCGTCTCCAACTCTAGGTGGCGGTGCTCATCCCTGTCTCCAAGCCGTAGAGCCAGCGTTTGTCCGTAGGCCATTTCCGTGGTCACGTGGCCAACGTGACTAGACATGGAACACCATTACCTTCCCACCGAGGTGGTACCTATTTATCTAGTCGCATTTACATGCTTTCGAATGGCTAGGTTGGCAGGAGCTGGGAGCTCCTTCCGTCACGTGGATTTGATCTTACAATGGCGGGTTTTCTGACCTTGCATCCCAGAGGCTTCTGTGGTTTAACCCATAGCGCCACCATGTCCCACTCATGAGATAGACATCTTGCCAAAGAGGGAAATAGGTTCCATCGTCACCTTTCTGCATGCAGTTTCTTCCAACAGGATTGATTGATTGATTGATTAGTTGGTTGGTTGGCTGGATGGTTGGTTGGTTGGTTGAAATAGACCTGCTAGAGCAGTGGTGAAGGGGAGATACTATTTCAGTGGAAGTTTGCCACCTATTCCTCCTTCCCCAGCAAAGGAAGAAAAAGATGTTACTTCCAAGAGGATTGATTGATTGATCGATTAGTTGGTTGGTTGGCTGGATGGTTGGTTGGTTGGTTGAAATAGACCTGCTAGAGCAGTGGTGAAGGGGAGATACTATTTCAGTGGAAGTTTGCCACCTATTCCTCCTTCCCCAGCAAAGGAAGAAAAAGATGTTACTTCCAACAGGATTGATTGATTGATTGGTTGGTTGATTGACTGATTGATTGAGATTGATTGATTGATTGATTGATTGACTGACTGCCTGACTGATTTATTACTGAGACTGACTGACTGACTGACTGATTGATTGATTGATTGATTGATTGAAATAGACCTGCTAGAGCAGTGGTGAAGGGGAGATAGTATTTCAGTGGAAGTTTGCCACCTATTCCTCCTTCCCCAGCAAAGGGAGAAAAAGATGTTACTTGCAAGATGCCACGGAATTTTTAAGGACAGCACATGCCAATACTTTGCTATACTCCAAATAAACAGTCCCTGGCATATCCCATAAAACAGACCACGCCTCCTCTCCTCCTAGTCCCACCAAGAACCATTTTCCAGCAGATCCATATCATACCCAAAAGATATGTTGCCAGGTGGACAAGGAAACATTTGTCAGCCACAGGATAATGGTCATAAGATGTTACTACTCTTTCCCCACATGTTCCCTTTACCATCTCTAAGCCACAGAGTCAGCATGAGGAGTATGTAGATTTTTAGTTTTGGACTACAACTCCCAGAATTCTCCTGGCAACACGGCTCTGCACACTACTAGTAGTCAGCGTACATTACCAATTCAACTCAGTCCACAGCCCTATTCTTATCCTGTGTATTCCCTTCTCTTCCTTTCCCTTCCTTCCATCCAACATCAGCTCCTTCCTTCCTTCCTTCCCTCCCTCCATCCCTGTCTGGCTTCTTTTCTTGTTTGCTCCGTATTAATATTTGTTGGTTTGTTTAATTTGTATACCGCACCATCTCCTGGTTTGCCACTCCTCCGGGTGGTGGTTTCGGACATCAATAACACAAAGACAGGAACCCACCCATCTCTACCAGGCCCACTAAAAATAATAATAATAAAAAATTCGAACCACCCCAGCCAAACCCACAAAAATATAGAAACAATCCCCACCAAACCCAAGACAGAGACAACAAATCTGGGGGGTGATAAAACAACAAAAGCAGAGTAACCGCAGTTATGGGAGAAGGCTGTCCTGAAAGGTCTCTCTTAAAAGCAAGGTTTTAAAATACTTCCTAAATGTTAGGAGGGACGGAGTCCGGCACGCCTCCATGAGGAGCACATTCCGTAAGTGGGGGGGGCCACCCCTGAAAAGGCCGGGTTCCTCGTCGCAGACGTCAGGCGGTAGATCTCAGGGAGAGGCGTTCCGATAAGCAACGTGGTCCCACACCGTTAAGGGCTTTGCATGTCAACATCAAGACATTCAACTTGGCACTGAAACTTACAGGCAACCAGTGCAAGCGGGCCAGGATTTTTGAGGACAGGATCCCAATCTTGAAATCCCCAACATCATCCATATTTAAAAATGAAGTGGAAATCACACATTTTAAAAGTACACACCCTTCCTGCCTTCAGAGAGGTTCCAGCTGCTTAAAGACAGTGTCCCTTCCAAACCACGATCAACCGAAGAAATAAACATTTGTAGCTCTCCCTTCTCGTCCCTCCCATGCCTCATTATCAAGAGAAGGAAAGCTTTTCCCCTCCATGGATTACCGATCTGGGGGTGGGAGTCAGAGTCACAAAAAGAGCACACGTAAGTTTTTCCATGAGGCGAACCTCTGAAACCCACAGCAACCTTCTCCACAATACAGAGGGTCAATCCCTTGTAGTCCCTTCTCCCGCCCACCCTGTGCTTTAAAAAAGAAGCGCAAGTTAAGCAACAACATCAGAACATCAAGGGGGGAAAAAAGGAGATGTACTCACCTTCCATCGTGAGCTCTTCTGGAGAGGAAAGAGAAAGAAAAGAGAGAAAGAGAGATGGTCAGTCCGGGGAGGAACCATTTTGCAGAGCAAAATCCAACAAGAAGGACAGATGGAAAGATGACATGGGAGGATCAATAAGAATGAAGTCTGGTCCTTTCAATTTTTTTTAATAAGAAGTTCCTCATATTTGCAAGAGTTTTTTTTTAAAAAAGTCTGAAAAACTCAAAACATGGGGAAAAGCAGAGATGGCAGATGTCCCATCCAGGACCACAGCATTCAGCTTTTTAGAAACCTGACTTCAAATCTATGTCAAGGCAATCCTAACTCAAAGATGTGCCAGCCGTAGGGGGATTGGTGATCAACAGAAACGACTCGTCTAGTATCAGCAAAACTCTCATTTA